TAGACAACAGAATGTGCAAACAAAAGGACCTGCTTGAGCAAAACTACAGATTCGTTTAGCAGAACAACACTGCGTTCACAGTTGGTCACAGTATAGTGGTACAACCATCATAATGCCTATTGTGCACCTGAGATAATGATGATAGGCATAAAATGTCACGTCCATTCCAGTTGGATTGTTGGCTACTCGGATCGCGTTTAGTGCTTGGATATACTCAGGCAAACATTTATCATTCAGAAAAAGGGTTTATGCTTAATCGAGTTGTCATTTTGATCTCATATTGAAATTTATTGCTCTAGTAGTAATGAGTTACGCAGAGAAACGTTCCCGGTCGCAACTTACCAGACAACTTGGGATGACGATCAGCAGTACAAGAGAGCAATTTTTGTATTGGAAAGTTCGTACATTGCCTGGCAAAAGCAAGTTGAAACATGTCTGTCGTACGGTCCGCCAATGAAGTAGCGGCCATGCAAGACTAAGTACCAGGGAAGGCAACGATGGACATGATGAGTTCGAGGTCATTCTGACGGTCACACCATTGCAGATTGCGCTGTGCCGACGTGAATATCCCTTCATTCTGAACAGTTAGTCGTGTGGTTGTTTTTGTTGAGGAACTGTCTTACACTACCAGATTCATCACCCTTAAAGCTGCATATCATTCAATATATTGTCAACGAAATGGAAGCACTCGAAATGTTGTTGGATAAATGAACCCGTCGTTTCCAGCGAAGAGACGCATGAAGAAATCATGTGTGCTGTCAAAGTTAGAGGAGAGCTGTCTAAGCTGTTGCCTATGTGCATTCGCCCTTGCTATTCAGCACTGTTCGAATTTTTTCCCCACAGTAATGCTGATCATCCCATAGGCGAACGTTTCGTTCTAAGTACGGCGCAGCTAAAGATATTTTTTGCAGAATATCTTACTGACCTGCAAATTGCAGGTAAACTTATCTTGGAGGGACTATCGGAAGTGAGCTCAATCAAGTGACGGCTGCCGAATGCATGAAAGCCGCGAAAGCCAGTTTTCTTTCATGGCCGGAATCAAAGGTTATGAGCAACCCAATCTGCAGAGCTACAATCGGGACAAGGAAGTGAAACGATTGAAGTGGTTGACAGCATTAATCCTAAGGATAGCCCCCATCTTCAGCGGTTTTGGTAACTTTTGCGGTCTGCGCTGGGAAAGTGGTAATCGCTTCCACAAAAATTCTGCTCCATATTACCTTCGTGATGCCACTGTTCGAAAAGAAAGACAGAAATAGTCTCTCAAATCATTCTGTGACGCATGAAACGACCATAGCTGAGTGTATAATGTTAATCCTTGTTCTCTTATTCTCTGCGAGGGAATTTTCTTCTTACGCAACTTGGAACTGATGCTACACGTGAAACCAGTCTAAATGACTGGCAGCTTCCGCGAATACCAAAATTGAGGAACGTTGGAAAGAACAGCGCACGACTATTTAGGAAACTCCGTCTATACGAAGACAGATCAAAATACGCGTCACAAACGCGAAACGTTAATTTTGATAATCTGTGATGCAGATAACTAGGTAAAAGAGGTAAAGGTAGGCGAACTTCAGCGTTCAGCAGAAGGGAGGATGAGATGCCCAAGCTTTCGTGAAGCAGAATGCTTTCAGTGCCAGAACTCCTCGTACGCTTGAGCAACAACATCCAAAACATGTTTTTCCGCTGAAATGATAACCGGAGTAAAAGGCGAACGCAGCAGTTGTTTCGAGAAACTGCAAAAAAATACGTGGTCAAATTTTAATGTAATGCTAATAAGTATAAAATCATTTGAAAACATTTTACAACGAATAGCCAACGTCACACTGCAGAAATAACGTCATAACAAATTCATAACAAAATGGCAAAAAAATGAACAGCAGGTAAGATACATGTTGGGATCAAATATGCAGAGGCAAAACAAAAGCGGACGAATTATCGCATCCGGATTTTAGGCATCTTTACCCCAGATTCCAGATCCAGGGGGTTAACATTATCATCTGAACGACGTTTGCGACCAACTAAAAAAGAAGAAATTAAAATGAAGTTTTGAAAGATTATATGTTAGAAACAAAGAAACATGGCGCTCCATTTATTTAGGGGTTAAATTTTTGTACTGAGTTCTTCAACCGTCAAGTAGGGACAAAATGCAGCCGTAAAGCGCAAGCGTAAAACAGCAGGTAATAAAATTCGCAAACTTCGGCATGACCGCAAGAACACTACGATGTGATTATTACTTTCTACCCGTTTTTCGGCTGGTTGCACCGCATTACAGCGGAGTGAATTTATTGCTCAAAGAAATCAGCAGCAAAGAAGAGGTTTTAGCCGCATTTCGGCCTTCGCAATTTCTTTTAAACCATAATTAACATTAACAGCAGTAATGTTAATGATTCAGTAATGAAAATCTGTTGCTGTTTAAAATACATATTTGTAAAAAACTAACTGCATTAATGCAAGACCCAAGGGCAGACAGGAAAAGGACCCTCAAGTGCATTATATGCGGCATTCAGGTCTCCTCGTCTTTTATACATTACAAATCATGTCAGCCTTTCAACTTAAAGTAAAGGTACTTCGCTTGCTGGTCCACAGGAGTGTCGCTATCTGCATTATACTTGTCCAGCACCGCGACGTTCATGTCATTTAGGATAAAATCGATTGATGTCGGTCGTTTTGGCCTTCCCGCATCCATTTTTACTTGGTTTTTGGAAAAAATGTATTCATAATAGGTAACTTGTTCTTTTCAGCAAATTCTAGCAGTCTATTACCCCTGTCCTTTCACCACAACTAAATTAGCCCACAAGATACGTTACTTTCCTGTGGTCCAATGATCAACCACACCTTACAGTGGTTCTTTCCACGGCCATGTGCTTCTTTTAATTCTTTGTAAAAAATTTTCGATGTCTTCATCAGAATGACGAATAGCTTATGTTCATGCACATACCTGCATCACTTGACATCTTGTCACTTTGAAACTCTCCTAACCAATATTGAATACCTGCTGAAGTGCAGTCCACTGTTGTGCACAGTGCTGTTCCTATATTTTTTGTGGATAACAAACCATACTTCCGTTGCAACTCTATTTTTTTCGATCCTCATTAGAACAGGAGGTGTTCACTTTTAAACTGTAACAGGTCCTGCTTCCTTCTGATAACTTTGCTGAATCGCACAGTGTCCCAATTGGTTTTCTTAAATTCTTCTTCCAGTTCTTCAAGCCTGGTTTCACCACAAGTGATCTGCAATTTTACGGTTACAGCATTAGTAAAAACAGTAGCAGGTCTGATCCGTAACCTGAGCATTCTTAACACCGTATATCTTCATGTTTGACCAGCTGCTGCTTTCTCCAGCCACAATCCAGCCTCAGGGGAATAAAGGCCGTAATTCTAAGTGTGATTTCAATTCGGAGGATGTGGCCATAACTCACAACGCAAGTCAGGTGAGTTGGTTAGTATAGCTTCTTCTACTAAGCCGGTTATGTTTTCTCAAGCGTTCGCAGCATCGTTGAACTTGCCAAAGACGAGGGACTCAGCTGTACATGATCTTAAAAATGAAAAAATGAAATTGTCATTGAGAATTAGTCATCATCATTATGCTTTGCTGCAGGGTCATACATAGAGTAAACAGAAAGGCTAACTTTCCTGAATCATAACTAATCTATTTTTGGACTAAAGCAGTGTATTGTGAATCGTGAATGCATTTCGTGAAAAGTTTTGAGCAATTCGTATCGGGATTGATCGATATGATCTGGCCATTAGCAAATGTCTATGTGACCGCATCAATTTGTATAGGTGAACGGACGCCAACTAATGCTAGAAATTGTAAAGGGATTGACGTTATGTCCCTCTTGTTTTCACAATATACATTAATGCATGCAAAATTAACTTTCTGAATAATGTATAAAATATGCGGATCATACTTTGGTACTGTATGCAGTTACTTCGGTAGATGATCTAGCAAAGTATTTTTGGGTAGTCAGTTCCATGTAGGACTGATCAGGGATAAATTGCCTCATTTTAATCATAATAAAAGCGACGAATGTTTATTATTAAAAGCTCATTGTAGTACTGCTGCAATAGATTAACTGATTAGATGTTTACCACTACTTCGTCGTAGAACCAAAAAATAGCAGGATTCACAGCAAAAACTCTACTGTGCCATGATAAACGGAAGTTTACACTTCAGCACACATGCAGAAATGCTAGTCACAAAAACAAGACAATGCAGGTATTCTTTGAAATGTCTAAATTCATTACAAACTACCAAAGGAATCAGAGAACTATTTATTAGAACGTGCATACTTCCTCTGATTACATATGCTTCGTGATTATACTTCATCCTTTGTAAAGTGGACCTAAGCAAATTTTGATCAGCTACGACATTTGCTGGCCGGCAGAATAGGTCAGCTGTCTTATTTGAATGTCATAAATGTCATGGTAAGTCATTGTAAAGGTTGATATTTATACTCTAGCTGATCCTGTCCATCCCCTGCACCAGGCTCTTTCAAAATATACTTCGAGTTGCTACTGCCCAAGGTCCGAATACGACTGCATATATGCGAGGACTGAAGCATACAGAAAATCTGTGATCCCCCAAATAGCACGGACTAGGCAAACAGAGGAACGCGAAAGGCAGAATCTGCACACAAATTCTATCCTCTCCGTTAACCGATAAATTGAGATATTCAACTACATTACTTTCTATCCACTAATTAGCCCCTTTTTCATCGTTGTTAATTTCTTGTCCCATTATTATGCATGCTGTCTGTCTGTGCCATATATGTATATTGTCATGCTAATAGGTCAGTAGTTGCTGAAATGTCTTTTATAGGTAATGCGAGCGATTTCTGCTAATTTAAGCAGTAAATTTTTCTGATTTGATTGATAATCTTATTCTTTAGCAAAGAATTATTACAACAATATTTAAGCAACCCAAACGTCATGTTAATAACAATAATAATAGTCATAATACATTAAAGAGCTGATGCGCCTTAGACAAATGTTTAACAATACATTAAAATAGGAAGGGTTTTCAAATAATAAAATTTTTGCAAAAAGACCGTCTGAAAAAAATTTTAAAGCAAAATTTATTATTATAGCGCAGTTCATTACGTGGATTTAAATGATACTCATTTTCAGAAAGTTATTAAGTTATGATATTTCGACCAAACCACTGTGGGTTTTCTGCAAGTTACGTAATTGCAAGATTTCAAGAAATAATGAGATTGAATCATATTATGTATGGAACATTACTGTACATCTGAATGCAATTACACTGAAAAGCATTAACGCTATTAAGATGGATTCTATCGAAACATCGCACTGTATAATACTGTCAAATTGAACTTGTCTAAAAACATTGAGTACTTTGCTATGTCGTCAAACAAGTGACGGAAAATTTCGAAACAACCAGATACTCCTGAAATGAGTTGATTCCACTTACGCGATAAATTTTCCAGATATCCACCAGGCAAGTGGGTGGTGCCCTGGTCGTTCAGAGAAACAATGTCGCAGTCCTGCCCAGAGGAAGACTGGCGGTTGGCATCGCTACGCAAAGCTGCCGCGTTGGAGCCGTACTGTACCTCGAGGACGAGTTCACCGAGAAGGGTTTCGTGTTCCAACAATCTGCGATTCATGCACTCTAGCCGACGGCTCTGGCGCATAATCAGTTGATTTTGGGCACTGATGCGATAGCGTTGTTTCAAGTGCTGCATTCGCAGATGTTTTATGTTTGTACGACAGGAGACGAGCTGCGATTCACAAGAGCGCAGCTTCCCATTCAAATCAGATATGTCTTTCATGAAAAGCACATACAACGGCGACGACGGAATGGCATCTGCTGCACCTAAAGAAACGAAGTTAAAAAATGATCATACATCGTAACGAATGAAAACATGCTAATCATCCACGAAGTCTATTCATTCAAGGGCAAGAATGAACGGAACCGTGTCCTCTGAAGAAGCTATGTTTTTTTTGAAGTACAGATCCATGAATTCAATGTACATAATCACCTTGTGAGTTATGAATATTGAATATTGCCGGCAGCGAGACCGTATTCCACGGCGAAGCATGACGGAGAAAAAACAAATGAATGTTTTCGAACCGATCAGGCTAGTCTACCTTAACTTCAATAACGGGCGCCGCATTCATGGTAGTCTCATCCCATGCGGCATATGGTGCAACGAAGATCATCGATTCCATGTAATTAACCACGAATGCATTAATTTCTGATGACAAAATTTACAACTAGGAAAATAAAATAACATCCAATCTTCTGATTCCTCTCAATATAAAACGGTACTTGCTTATGTACTCGATGAAAAAGCTGACAGGAAAACAACTTGGTCAGGAATATGCCTGCGATATTTGTAACATGAGTCCAGAGGTACACCGCTGAGCTATAAATTCTCAGCACGAGGAAGAGCACTCTTCATTATTTTTGTTTTAAATATGAACTCAAAAGTTGAGAATATAATAAACACGGTATGACAGACCTTCTTACCCTGAATTCTTTGATGCAATACTCAGATAGTGTGGCATATCTTAGAAAAAAATTGCGTACATACAGTCAAATTTTTTGAAAGGCGCTGGAGGACCGAAGTGTGCAATGACGACTTGTTTTCCATACAAGGCGACGAATCACTTGTAATACTTAAGGACGGTTCGATTCAACTGCATCATTTGCCAAGCAATGGCTTTAGAAGTAGCACAGAGGCTGTCGTCAGAGACAGTTCGCAGATAAAAACGTCGTTGCAAAGTATCCTTGATCATGACTCAGGGCTGAAAACTGAAACGTTGGTGTGAAAGGAGAATTTTGTATCACATCCAAAGCCACTAGATCGCAAAAAGTGGACAATTTAGGTATTATTAACATGTATTGAAAATGAAAGACGATAGCAAAGAAGGTTGAGATGCCGAAATAGGAATAGTTTACATATTTTTAAGAAAAAGGTCACATAAATGCAAAGTATTGGTAACTATTTTTTAGTTCATCAACCATCATCCCTGATAGAAAAATTAAACCCTTTTAGATGCTTAAGTTCCTGCTCATTATTTATATGGCAGGGTAACCAGAAGCAACGAAGGCGAATAGTGCATCATAATCGACCACGCCGAAACCATGAGTGTTATTTTCACAGACAATCTGATCCGAATAGAATCTCACAGTGCACTCGATAGGTTTTCAACCGAATACGGATAAACAGCCAAATCGGAACCAGTTGTGGTCTCTCGATTCCCTATTTACTGCGGTTTGAACGTTACTCGCGCATACCCCGAGAGATAAAGTTCAAGTACCTGCGGATCACATTTATGGGTGATAGAAGATGGGAAGCAGAGATCGAGCGAGGAAACGGTATGACAAATGGAGTGATTTGTGGACTGCATCGAACACCGGTTAACAAAGCCGGAGATGAGTCTTCGAACAAACCTCACTGTGTTGAAATCGGTGTTTATTCTCACCCTCATCTATGCTAATGAATGAAGTTTGGCTAGTGACGAGAAAAATGAGACCAACAATACAAATTGCCGAGGTGGGGTTTCGTAGAAGAATCATTGGACTAATGCGTTTGGACAAAAATCCGGAACATGGTATTTCGAAAATCCATAAAAATCGAGTCGTTTCTTCTTAAGATTGAAAGACTGCAGTTGAGATTGTTCGGTCATGTCAACAAAATGGCGCCAGGAGGGAGTTAAAGACAAATGCCCTTGACAAAGGAAGGAAAAAAGATTTGGTAAAAGTGAGTCAAGGACCTCTGCACCTGACTTTTGACTCGCCATCTGAAGTCGATTCCATGGCTCAATATCAATAACATTGGGACAGTTCCAGAAGACGTTGTTTCCGTCACCCGAAACGAAATGCTGGTTCTTAAAAAATGAAAGGATAAATGGTGTCACGCTTAACGTCATTATATCGCAAAAGACGGAGTTCGAATATTGCTGACACGCACTGAAAATAAAGTTTCGATGATACAGGGGAAGACTGAAATACGAAAATAAGAGCAGTACCGTAAATTTTTTACGGAAATTTTTCACTGCTTATCCTATGCAAATTACTTATAATAATTTATTGAATGCAACGTTCCGAATTAAAAAATATTTTAAACGCATTCTGTTCAAATGTAGTTGCTCAAGCGAGTCAAACAAGCACGATGTGCAACCTCTTGAATAGTGGAACAACAAATAATAAGCAAATAAAATAGTACAGCTTTACATAAAGAAACAGAAATCCGAAGAAAGCTTTGTCCACCCCCCCTCGCCTTGCTCCAAATGTTTGCAGTTGAAAGGAGTTTCGATTGTGAACAAGATCAATTTTCGGCTACGAAATACCATTGATGAATTAACAGTACGGATCTGACTAAATTATGTCGGAAATCAAAGAAAGGTTTGTGATTATGACTTCGGCACCTTTGATGTCATGACTGGTATCTACTTCGCATCAGAGCTGTTCATCTAAGAAAGTGGCCAAAAATGATACGTAGAAGGGTATATTATGCGAAGTATGGAAAAGCACAATGACATACATGCAAAAGCGAACAATCAAATTATTCTACCACATAATTCATACATTTCCATGTTTTCGAAATCTTATTTCCAAAAAAGTCTATAAAAAGTGGTGTATGGAAGAAATCAGACTCTAGAAGGCTATCATGCCGAAGAAACCAAAGGAATCACTTGATCTGAGAAACCAGGTAGTCTTTATGATATCTCACCAGGATCTCCTTAAGCTCTGTACTTGGAAAGCCAATCGTTAGACTACGGACCCGTTAACAAGGAACTAGCAGAGTTTAGCAGAGATAATTTATATTTTCTCTTAGTAAAACGTTAAGTAACCATAAGGTATAAATAAATTTTAGATACATCTCAGACGTGATAACAAATTACAAAATGAATAAAACTGCATGCGTAAAGTCAGTCATTTATTACTGTATTTTCTGACCTTTATTTCAAAGCACACACAACATTAACAAGTAAGATCGTTTTCTCTGTAAAATATGAATATGTGCAACCGGCGAAACACCATCAAAAAACCTGAATATATTCTGTTCCAATCCCAGGTGATCTCAGCAGATGTGCAGAGTGAAAAATCGAGATTGACCCTGTTAGACAAACTAGTTTAGCAAAAACCCTTTATTGCAAACCACGAGCTTGTCGAGTTGAAGTAACTCAGTGCTAAAAAATGTGAAAAATTCAGCATGTCAAATACGTTCTGTCGATGCAAAAAAAACACTGAGGGGGCGGGGACGTGTTCAACAATTAACAACGAGCAGCATAAGATTTTGTTTAAATATAACATTTCTGAAAGAAAACGTGGAGCAGAACAGTGCATGATTTCACTGTTATACTGGAAAAACGACGGAAACATTCAAAAATAAAGTATATTAAACGATAAAGCTGAAATTACCATTAGAAGAACGCATCATGGACAAAGACGATGGAACTTGACAGTTATGCTGAGCTGAATAATAGTGAAGATGCATCAGGGAGCGGGAGGTGGCAGTAGAAAAGTTCGGATAGTCCTTATACGAGGGCAAAATGCGGTCTTCAAAGTACTCCATCGCCATGCTTGATATGTCGCGCAGTTCTCTGAGTAACTCGTGCGGCCGTGGCAGCTCTTCGCCGCTTGGTGTAGCTGAGACAATTCTCAAAATCCGAAATGCCTCATCCAACACTTTTCCCGGTATGAAACAGCAAACACCTTAAAACAACAAAACAGTGCCACCATCACAAGAAAGTATAGAAGGCTGCAAATTATACTATGTACAGAGAAGCTAATAAACGGAACTTGAAACTGCGACTGTCCTT